TTATAATTTTTTAGACAGATGCAAACCCTATAGAAATTCTCAGAAATTCATATGCCCATTAACTACACTCTAAATTTTTTTTGTTTAAATTTGCGCATATTAAGATAGGTAACCGGTTTCCTCTCTTAATGAATGCAAATTTACACACCGTGTTAATTAAATTAAACACTGCTTGCTTACTTTTGCTTATCATATGTGTGGCATAGAACAAATTTCAAATTTGTTTTTTGAGTTCTAAACATTTATTGTTCACAATTTCACAGTTTACACATAAAATGTTTAAAATTTCCTCTAAAAAATTTTTGTTTAAATTTACGCATATAAAGAGAGGTAACCAGTTTCCTCTCCTAGTGTGTGCAAAATTAAACACTGTCTGTTTACTTTTACATACCAAATTTTTCACGTAGAGAAAAATTACACACAAAGTGTTTAAAGTTGAGTAAATATGAGCACTTAGCATTAGCGCATAGGGTGGGTTTCGGGATTTAATGACCGGATCTAAACCAAATTACGGGACGACCCTTCCGGTAAAAAAAAGAATTATTGGAATCGGTTCATGCGGTCCAAAGTTATGCGGTGGCGGTCCAAAGAAGAAAAAATACTCCGAAGAATTGATAACCTCCCCTTTTTTGAAGCCGGTTGAAAATGTTTGAGTTCTTTGTAAATTTTATGTAAATAAAATGCAATTTCTAAAACTTTAAAAAGTTTATTTATTTATGACATACTGTACATAAAACTTGCATAAATGTATTTTAAAGAGCGTATTATCTGAAGCGAATTTTCAGTATTTTCTGATGATATATATTTATAAGTATAAACCCCTTAACCTTAGAAATATGCGTAAATATGCACGAATAATATCGAAAACATGCTTAAAATATGCATTTAAAAAAATAAATTCCTCTATTCAATTTTATTCCAAAATGCAAAAAAACTCTGGTGCATATGTATAGAAATAAAAATGCAAATTTAACTTACATATTTTTGTTGCAATAAATAACAAAATATTCGTATGAATTTTCAGAAAGAAATGATTGCCTGCTATCGCGGA